AATGGTGTTAGGGTGTATTGAGACAAGTCTCAATGAAAGCACTGGCCTAGGTCACAGAGCAATAGATAAATGTATTGATTATGTGAAAATTAGTTAGTCATTAGTATGATTTTAGTTGAAAAGACACAAACACAAAAATACACTGCATGTTATATAATATACTGTATATAGCCATGGCACCAGTCCTGAAATAAGTATTCCCTGAAATCTAACTCAGAAATAGATTAATTTATTGATAGAACATGATACATTTATATTAACAAATCTATGCTCCTAGGATGAATGGACATTGTTCAATGGTTCAAGTCTACCGTGAAAGAGGAAATTGCTAAGATTTTGATTTTGTAAGCTACAACCAAACGTTTTGTGTATACATGGGGAAATTTGTTCTGAAGTTCCGAGTAATGGCGTTTGACTATTATCGAGGCTTTGGTATCTGTAGAATCAAATGTCGTTATAAAGGGTATTATCTGGTTATCATGTTGAATGTTGAGTCCATTTGGCCTCACAGTCTGCAGTTGATCGATCCAATAACTTTCGCGTTGTAGACGTCTAAGCTTAGGTTTCATGCTAGGTGATGTAGAAACTGTTTCTATAGGCATGATGAGAAGGTCATCAATGGAATGATCGGGAAGGTTGAAGTGATTCGCAATTGGTCTATCCTTGCCATGCACTATATCATAGCGATGGCCATTGAATCGCGTTCGAAGCGCATTTTGAGTCTCGCCAACATATTGTACATCGCATTTTTTACAAGAAATTAGGTATATGATATTTTGATCTCCGCAAGAAATTAGGTTATTCATCGCAAACAATTTTCCGTTCTTGTTATTTTTGAAAAAATGGGTAACATGTATGTGTTCGCATGTGCGACAAGTAGGACCTCCACAGGGAAATGAACCGAATCCAATAAAAGGTGGAGGGGGGTCTTCTTTTCTCAAAATGTCTGAAAGCGTGTCATTCTTAATTTTTCGAAGAAACCTTTTGGAATATCCCCTCTCCCTTAATTTGTCAAAAACTAGTTTACAGGCGGATTCAAAATCAGCCTGCTGGGTGCAAATTCTATGAAATCTTAGAATTTGAGATTTAATTATTCCAGAAAATGTTTTGTTCGGGTGGAACGAGCTTTTGTATAAAAGTTGGTGGGTATCAGTTTCCTTAAAAAATTTTTTAGAAGAAAGAAAGTTGTTGCCTTTGAACACCGTGGTGTCCAAAAAATCCATGCTGTTTTCGCTGATATTTGCTGTCAATTTCACAGAAGGGTGGTGGTTGTTTAAAATTTAGAAATATTTCCAGAAATGTTCTAGAGTATCGGACCAAATGATAAAAATATCGTCAAGAAACCGGCCGTAAAATAAAGGTTTAAACGGTGAATTATTTTCTATCTCCCTCTCCCACTCGGCCATAAATATATTCGCATAAATAGGGGCAAATTGTTTGCCCATAGCAGTTCCAGATGTTTGTAAATATATTTTTCCATTAAAAAAAGAAGTCATTACGCGTTAAACATAGTTTAAGTAAATCTAAAATCTCTGTATCAGGTCGATCAGAACATGGATATCGAACAAATGCCTTACGGACGGCGTCAAGACCAACATTGTTGTCAATGTTGAATCACTTCAACATTGTTGTCAATGTTGGTATACATACTGGTTACTTCCAAAGAAATGAAATACGCGTTTTCGGGAATGTCCAATTTCTTGATTTTTTCAACAAAATCGGTTGTGTCTTTCAGATAAGAAGGGTGTTGGCATGCTAGTGGCAGTAAAAAGTAATCTATGTATTATGAAACTCGGTATGATTCGCTAGAACAATCAGAAATGATTGGTCTACCTTTAGGAATTTTGTTGGCAATGGACCACTCAGTTTCGGGATTTTTATGAATTTTCGGAAGCGTGTAAATGTGTCGTTGGCGAGGCTCAGTGGACGCGGAAAGGTAGTCATATTGCTTTTCTGAAATAAATTTCTTTTTAACCAAATTTTGTAGAATATTGTTTATTTCTCGCACAGTTTCCATAAAAATAGGTGTATGAAGTTGGCGATAGTGATTTGAAATGTTCAACTGTTTATCAATTTCAAAAATGTAGTCATCGCGATTTTGAATGACGCAGCAACTGCCTTTGTCACTTTTCCTGATGATAATGTTTTTTGTCATTTTTTAGATTATTGAGAGATTTTCGTTCAAAATTGGTAAGATTGTTTTTCTCATTCACCAAAGGCAAATGAGAAATTTCTTCATATAAATTGTCGCAAATAGTTAAAATATCTTGGTCAATCGCATTATCTGGTGGATTCCAGCCAGATCTATCCGTAAATTTGATTCGTTTACCGCGGCCAAGTTTTTCGCGAAAGTAATAATTCAATTTAAATGTTCTCTGAACTTCAGTTACCGACGTCAAAATTGGTTCAATCGAAAATGGTTTATGGGTGGGTATGAAGGTTAACCCTTTGTCCAGAAGTCTTTCTTCAAGGGGAGAAAGTATTCGTGAACTTAAATTGACAACAGTTTGTCCTAATTTTGGAATATTTCCCCCCCGCGTTTAGTTTAAATGGGAGACCCAATTTAAATATACAGACTTGGCAGTGGGGGCCGTCCAGTGGACGAGATCTAAATGGTTTACCTCGATCATTCCATTGAATCGCGGCATAGTCTTTGCAAACGGAGATGGCTTATGAAAAAGAAGGTCGTTGAATTTTCGTAAGTTGGCGGCTAAATTTGGTCTCTGGCGTTGGAGGATGGAAGAAACTGGTATCTGGGTGGCGAATACGTTGGCTGATGGGAATTTGGTTTTGGCGAGGGATAACAATTCCAGCATCTGTCTGTGGATGGATTCACCTGGTTCATTCTTGTTGTTGAGGCCAATATGGAGAAGGACTTTGGATGGTATTGATGTTGGATTAATCTTTGTAAGGATATCGATGATGTGGTTAATTTTGGCTCCGGGATAAGATTCAGCTTGGGTGTCCTGGTTGACCTCTGGAATTCGGGAAATATTTGAAGATCCTATGATAGTGGTTGGTTTGGTTACTTCAGGGAGTGTCCATGTTGATTTGTTCTTGTTACAATCATGACGACGAGGATGGTTTGGTGATTTAGAACCTAAGCTTAGACGTCGACGGAAAGTAGAATTGGTTGATGATCTTGGAGTTTCGGGGTTGGATCTAGGTTTTGATGGGGTAGCAGGTGAACTTGTAGGTAGAGGTCTAACAGAATTGGAGATTGGAGTAAAAGGGGAGGTTGGTAAATTGGTGGTATTGGTTCTTTCAATTTCACACCTTTGTAGGTTAGAGTGGAATAAACAAACACCCCCAAACAATGACAGTCTGTTCCCATTCATGTTTTACGAAATATAAATGCGGCAGACATAAAATAGCATGAAGTGGGCAGATCTGTGTCGAACAGGTCTAGTTCTAATAAAAAGTGTTCAATCAGTTTCTGAACATTATTGTGATGACCACTGCTCTTTGCAAGATGTTTGAATTATTGTTTAAATATGTTAAAGAGTAAGACACGTGTAATATATTACTTATAAGATGAATAAAATGATTTAACTATTACAGTATTGATCACGTTACAGTTACCCAAAGAAATAGAAGCCTGTGCAAATCAAAATGAACATGTACCTTACTTAAGCTCCACCTACTTTCCTTTAAGATTTTATTTGACTTATTGCCAGCACCCATGTCTGTCCGTCCGCCCATCCACAATTGTTTCACTCTAGAAGGTATAATCCTTGACTGATTTTGACGAGACTCGATATGATTGTAATCAACCAGCGATGAACCCTATTGAAAATCAGAAAAATATTTAGTATGAGTAGTTGCCCTTGTTCTTGAAAATATTTTTCCCATATAACATTCTAGAAGGCACAATTCTTGATGGATTTAGATGAAACTTGGTGTTTATCAACCAAGGATGAACCCTATTGAAATTCTGAAGAATCAAAGGATATTAAGTATGAGTTATTGCCCTTGTTCTTGAAAAAGTGTACAATTTTATAATCTTAAACACTCTAGAAGGCAGAATTCTTTATGAATTTTGATGAAACTTAGTGTGAGTGTTTGTTATTAACCGAGGATGAACTCTATCGAAAATCAGAAGACTCAAAAAATGTTAAGATAATATTTAATATGAGTTATTGCCCTTGTTCTTAAAAATGCGTCTGTAAACATTCTAGAAGGCCCAATTCTTTACAGATTTTGACAAAACTTATTATTAATTCAGTATCGCCTCAAAAGAAGTGTATGACTGAAGGTTAAATATTTCATACTGGTAATTGTTACTTTACTGCTAAATATTTTTATTTAAAATTAAAGCAGTATATTACCTTGGCTGGCAACCTATCTTAATTGGATTGGATGAGTGCTAGCAAGGGCACAAAGACTTAGACTGAAACAGTTGAATATTTCAGATTTAAATCTATTGGATTGGTCTCATCACAACTATCTACATGTAGCTTTAAATGATGCTGTGTATATGTGGGATGCCACTGAAGGCAGTAACACACAATTGTTAGAGCTTCAGAGAGCTGAGGAATATGTGTCAAGTATTAAATGTATTGATAAAGATGACTTTGTAGCTGTTGGAACTAGTAGTGGTAACATCATGGTAAGTACAAACAGGGGTGTATCTAGAATATGTCTGACGAGACCCGAAAGGCTACAATCTTATTAAAATCAAATTTCAACTTCATATCTTTTTCAATATATTTTTATTTAAAATCACAGCTGCCAGTGGGCGTATATTACCTTGCCTGGCAAGCTATCTATAATAAGAATGGTAGGGCCGAAGTCCCCAGAGGCCAGGCCAACAGATTTCCCAAAAAGAATTTAGAGCATTAAGAGTGTTTAATTTTCACTTCAAAGTGAGACCTGAAGGGGGCAATGGCCCACCCTCTAAATATGCCACGGAGTACATATAACTTATCCAGCATTTTGGGCTGTTATTTAGAAGTTGCCTTGGATCAATGCGCTATACACTTCCTATCTCATCTATCACATGCTATCTCATCAATTGGATATTACTAACCTGAAGGTCCAGGGTTAAACCCTACATATGTAGAGATAATACCTGCAGATTTTTCAACCTGGTTTCCATTTGTCAGTGATGCGGGTTTAGGGACTGACATGGAAAAACTGCAATAGACGACTCTGATCTGCCTTATATTGAAAAGAAATTATAGAAATAGACAATGAAAATCCTAGTTTGGGTTATTTTTAATTTTTAGTACATTTCTGAAGAGTTCAATTAAGCTTGAATGGATATAAGTTGTTATTTATTAATATTTACTTCAGATTTATGATATATCAACAAAGAAACATGTTCGAACAATGACAGGACATGCTGCTAGAGTTGGTGCCCTAGATTGGAACAGTTATATATTATCAAGGTTTGTATTGCCAGTTAGATAATTTTCACAAAGGGCAGGAGTTTCAACCTAGTGGGGGTAATTACCTTAAATGGTCAATTTTGATCGTTTTAGTGTTCAGAGCTTTCTAATCTAGAATAACATAACGTAATCTTAGAGATCACATGTGATGTGCACACAGCCTCATCATTGGGAATGCCAACTTTGAAAGGGAACACATCAAAAAACTAATCAGCTTTGAGATTTCTCAGTAAACTAATCTTTTCATAGGTTTTATCAAAAGCGAAAGTAAGAACTAAGTTCAAGATGGCGGAAAACCCCATCACAATCAGTTCAAATCCTTCATTGAAGGACTTATAATTCATGACACAACAATTTTGAATTTCAATGAGGTAAGCCTTTAAGATCGGGAAATGTTCCAAAATTTTGGCAAGAAGGAATTAATTAAATCCTTCCTTGATTATAAAGGTGGTAAATTGAAAGAGCATATAAATTTCTGGAAAGAAATTACAGCAGATAAAAACATGATATCTTTATAAACATTTTAGGTTATACCAATTATCAATAACCCATCCTTTTAAATTACCTTAAGAGAAACAGCCTACCATATCAATGAAATTATTAGAATGAGAAAAGAAAAATATCATTGAAGGAACTTACCATGAAGTGGGAGAATTTTTATATGCCTATATGAAATGGGGGGCGTATATTGGTGTCACCCATGTCTGTCTGTTGGTCCATCTGTCCACAATTGCTCATAAACACACAAACACAATTCTTAATGGATTTTGATGAAACTTGGTGTGAGTATTTGTTATCACCCAAGGATGAACCCTATTGAAAAGCAGAAAAATTGAAAAAATATTTAGAATGTGTTATTGTTCTTGTTTTTGGAAACGCTTTCAATTTTGAGCTCATAAACACTAAATTGCTCGATTTTGACAAAAGTTCAAAAGAAGTGTATGACTGAAGGTTGAATATTTCATCCAGGTCATGATTACTGTTCTGCCAAATATTTTTATTTAAAAGCAAAGCTGGCAGTGGGCATCTATTACCTTGCCTGACAAGCTCAGTTTGTTATTCAATAAGAATCTTTCATACATGTGATTATCAAGTGCCTTATCAACTTTATTGTTAGAGATCACAAACCTGTTGAAACACAACCAGTGGTTATAAGATTTTTCAAAAGGCGTTTTTTATATGAGACTTTTCCTACCAAGAAATAAGTTGATTTGTGATGTTAAATTTAGTGTTTAATTTTTTACGGACACTATCTACAGTTAGGAGGATAACTTTGAAATTATTAAGTTTTAAAGTGCTGTTCCCTTATTTTCATTTATTTATATATATGCCGTTATTGGACGACTTTAATACTTATATAAATCGAACACAGAGATGTTCTAATGATTGGGATAAATACCAGTTTGTCTCAGAAATCAATAATTAACTCGTAATTAGCTCATCGGGTCTCACAATTTCCTTAAGGGAGGTAACTCTATGTATGCCTTTTCACAGTTTAACATCATCAAAACAGCCAAATACCAACCTAAAAGTTTTAAATTTCAATAGTTATGTTTCCAAAATAGGGAAAAAGACAATGTTTTTTTATTTTCTGAATACACTGTGTATTTAATAACATTATTTCTAACTTACAAATATGTCTCTTAAACATGGTTTGGCTAATAAAATGTTTTACGAAAATGTGGCTAGATTATCACGATCTACTTTAGTCAGTGAGTAAACAAGAAATCTATTTTTAACTTTTTCAATCGGATTTCAGTAAATTTTATCCCCAAGCTTTTCTACATCCTTACACAATCTTAGCACTCAAGAATACTTGATATATTCATTAGAAACATTAATTATTCAAACAATAAGCATGATTTGACCAAGAAAAATAAGCAAAGGTAACTTTAAGTTACTGGGTTTGATTTCAATTTTATCAGGCAAAAGGATACAGGCCTTACAGTTGAAAGATATAAACAATATAGTTGTATCGAAATCTTCACTTCTTGTTAGAATATGTGAATTATTGAAACTAACATGAAGAACTAGTTTTACCAGGTTACCCTCCAGATAAGAGATTATGTGTTGTTACCGTCTTTAATGAAAATGTGAAACGTACTAATACTACAAGAGGCACCAGTCAAAGGCTGTTAATAAGTTTTCAAAAACCATATAAACAAGTTTCTAGAGATACTATTTATAGGTTGTTAAAGTGTCTTCTACAATTATCTGGTGTTGATACTAGTATTGTTGTCCCTTATTCTATTTGTTGAGCTTCGATCCTGTAATGCAGCTCAGAAATCTTGTACCTATTGATACCTACCGTTCTTGCTATATCATAAGGATAGTGCTTTCCATTTTAATTTTATAAGAAGCCTTTAAATAAAGAAGAGAGGTTTGGAGTAAAAATATTACAAAATATAAACACTAACTTATGAACAAAATTGTTAGATCAAAATATGTTTGTATGAAAAATTCTCTTTTATTAAGAGTTTGTGTTCCTGATAGCAACTTATGGGTTCTCTAAGAGATATAGAATTTAAAAATTTAACAAGACTTACCTGTCAATAACGATTACTATTCTATATCTGTCAGATGACGATCTAAGAGATAACATGCCCACCCAATGGAGTTCTAAGGCATAGAATCTTGAGTTTTTTGCCCTCCCTTTACTCTTGGGTTTATGATTGTTTGCTATCATTCACCTTTACAAAATGAAGTATGAGACTGCGTGTGCATCTCCTGTTATCTCTGATATCGTCATCTGACAGATAAATAATTATAATCAAACTTCAACTTACAGGTAAGTCTCGTTTAATTTTTGCTTGTAAACACTTGCAAGACACAATTTTTACAAAACTTGATGTGAGTGTTCGTAATCACCCAAGGATGAACCCTGTTGAAAATCAGAAGAATCGAAAAATATTTACTGAATGATTGCCCTTGTTCTTGAAAACGCATTCAATTTTTAGCTTGTAAGCACTCTGGAAGGCACAATTCTTGATCGATTTTGACGAAACTTGGCATGAGTGTTTGTTATTTAACAAGGATGAACCCTATTGAAAATCAGATAAATTGAAAAATATTAAGTATGAGTTACTGCCCTTGTTCTTGAAAACGCTTTCAAATTTTAGCTTAACACTAAAAGGCATGATTCTTGCCAGATTTTGACAAAACATTCAGTACCGTGCTGAAGATTGAATATTTGTCTTCTAGAGTTTTCACGAGCTAAAGATTGAACACTTTTTCATTTAAACATTTGTTGGTAGTGTTTTGTGTGTGACGTTGTGCATTTGAAGATATGTTGAGCTAGATTTGTATTTGAGGATATTTTTGGCAAGAGTTCTATTAATTAAATAATTGGAAAACTGGATGTTTATCGAAAAATGTTGAATTTCAGTATAAATTATGATTTTTGTATACAAATGTTGATTTCAAAGACTGCATTAAGCTTGCAAATTAAGAGATAGCAATGAGGAACATTGAATAAAAAGCCATTCCGCCTTCCATAAAATTGGTTGTATCTTTTAAAATATCTTTGGAAATTGCAGGAACGACAGAATTCTAATTGAAATTTGGAATGGCACCAATTGATGATATCAGTGTCCCCAATTCACATACAGACAATTTTTCTCTTAGTAGTTGTGATAAGATATTTGAACCAAATTAACAGGCAACATTAAAATATAATGTTTACAATTGACTGTAAACTAATATGTTTACAACTATAAACTAATATGTTTACAACTATAAAGTAATGTGTTTACAACTATAAAGTAATGTGTTTACAACTATAAACTAATGTGTTTACAACTATAAACTAATGTGTTTACAACTATAAACTAATGTGTTTACAACTATAAACTAATGTTTAGTTTGATGTTTCAGTGGATCACGTTGTGGACAGATTCATCATCATGATGTGCGGGTTAAAGATCATCATGTTGCTACTTTAAGTAACCATACTCAAGAGATTTGTGGGCTGCGCTGGTCACCTGATGGAAGATATCTAGCTAGTGGAGCTAATGATAATCTACTCAACATCTGGGATGCTACCTTGGGACAGAATCAAACCCCTGTTTATTCTCTTACTGAACATCATTCTTCTGTCAAGGTAGGAATTGAAAGCATTATAAACATAGAAAGAAACAAACAACTATATTTTACAAGGATAACAACTAAGGTTCACTAAGGATCCTGAGCTGGTTCTTGGCCAACCTCCTTGACATTGATCATTCCAGAATTATCCATACCCATTTTCAGCTGGGTTGACTGGAATTATGATTTTTTTGATTTTGATTTTTTGTGTCAATGTCATTATGAAGATGATCCCTATCGATTTTTGTGATGATCGGATAATTTTTCACCAAAATATCCTGTCTGACTTGAAATTTTACTCTATTAGCTATATTGTGCAACTCGTGCTCACTCTACAAGCTACAATTCTTTACATTCTTAGATTCTTTTGATTTTGTGTGTCAATGTCATTATGAAGATGGTAAATATATCTAATTTCATAATACTTACAATCAAAGCTATCTGTGGGCGTATGTTACCTTGCCTGGCAAGCTATATTTAGTTATTGCCCTTGACTTAGTAAAAACGCGTCAAATTTGGCTTGTATGCATGATAAAGGTTGCAATTATTATCCGGTCTTGATGAAACTTGGTATGCATGTATATATTGATGAGATCTTGGTCAAGTTTGAAATTGGTAATAATCGGATGAATGGTTTCAGAGTTATTGCCCTTGACTTAGTAAAAACATGTTAAATTTCGCTTGTTTACATGATAAAGGCTAAAAATTTTATTTGATCTTGATGAAACTTAGTATGCTTGTAGATATTGATAAGACCTCAGTCCAGTTCGAAATTGGTAATAATCAGATGAACGGTTTCAGAGTTATTGCCTTTGACTTAATAAAAATGCGTTAAATTTGTCTTGTCTGCATGATAAAGGCTACAATTTTGATTCCATCTTGATGAGATTTCAGTCAAGTTCGAAATTGGTTATAATTGGATGAATGATTTCGGGGTTATTGCCCGTGACTTAGTAAAAACATGCAAATTTGTCTTGTTGGCATGATATAAACTACAGTTTTTATCTGTTCTTGATGAAACTTAGTATGCATATATATATTGATAAGATCTCGGTCAAGTTTGAATTTGGTCATAATCGGATGAATGGTTTAAGAGTTATTGCCCTTGACTAAATAAAAACTCTTCAAATTTTGCTTGTAGTCATGATACAGGGTGCAGTTTTTATCTGATCTCAATGAAACTTGGTATGCATGTAAATATTGATGAGAATTTCGAATTCGAATTTGGCTTGTAGGCCTGATAGAGACTACATTATTTATGACAGTTGTCAGCTGGAGTAGAGTCAGAAGAAAAAGACCCTGTTAAATGGGGATTTTCCACACCTCCAAAGATATGTTTTATCTAACATAATATTGAATTTCCTTTAAGATGATTGTGAATTAGTGTTGGGCATTGCTGTAACTTTCGTTTTGGCTGAGAAAATGATGATATGACTGAACTACAAAAATATTCATCTTTCCGAATATGCCTGGGTTTTGTAGGTCTGAGGTATCTAAATAGGTTTAACCCCCTCACATGCGGACTGTCCCCATTTAACAGGGCTTATTCTTTCTGTCTCTACACCAGCTGACATCTGTCCAAATAGCTGTCTCTATACCAGCTGACATCTGTCCAAATAGCTAGAAGAGGCTGTAATAGAGACAGATGTTTCGGTCTATTTGCTCCTTATTGAGTCTAAAAGCTGCTTTGTGGACGTAAATACATGCTTAAAATTAAGTGATTTGAAAGATATTGCAAAAGCTGAAATTTTAACAAATTGGTCTTCAATTGATTCAGGCTATATCATGGTGTCCATGGCAATCATCTCTGCTAGCCAGTGGTGGTGGCACAAGTGATAGACATATAAGATTCTGGAATATGACCAGTGGAACGTGTCTGAATGCTGTAAACACTAACTCACAGGTATGGCAATCAATTAAATCAGCCTAAAACATTTTAAAAACAGCATTATTCCATATTGTGTATGTTATTTTGAGAATATGAAGGAGCTATTATTTCTATTTGCTTAGATTTAAACTTGGGTCTGCTTTATTGATAAAGGTCTAAGTATGGTTTTTATTATGCCCACATGGAAATGTGGCCATATATTGCCGTCACCCCTGTCCCTCCGTCCGTTCACATTTCTCGTAGACGTGATAGTAGCTACAGTTTGTATCCGATCTTGATGAAACTTGGTATGCATGTATATATTGATGAGATCTCAGTCAACTTCGAAATTGGTAATAATCGGATGAGTTATTGCCCTTGACTTAGTCAAATTCTGCTTGCAGGCACGATAGAGACTACAGTTTTTATCTGATCTTGGTGAAACTTGGTATGCATGTATATATTGATGAGAGTTGGTTAAGTTAGAAATTGGTAATAATCCGATGAAAAGTTATTGTACAGTGATGAGACATTGTTTGAATTTGATGATAATTTGATGAACTGTTTCAGGTTTTTGTGTTGACTGATAGACGATTTTAAGGTTTTGATAATTTATATTAAGCCACTAAAGATTTTGTTATAATTTCTGACAGCTGGTAGTGAGCGTATGTTACCTTGCCTGGCAAGCTATCTTTACAGGTTTATACGCCCACCTGGAAATGTGGATGTATATTGCTGTCGTTCCTCTCCATCCATCCGTCCACATTTCTTGTATACATGATAGAGGCACAATTAAAGAGATTATTCAGAGATTGTTTGAAAAGTTATTATTTAGCAACTACAGACTTTATCATTTCTGACAGCTGGTAGTGGGTGTAGGTTACCTTGCCTGGCAAGCTATCTTTGAAACAAAATTGTTGATTTTTTCTCAATCTAAAAACTTTAAATGTAAGGGAAAAAAGTTTCTCTATGAAATAACAACCTAGTCTTTCATATCATTAAAAAGACTTCTATTTCATTAACATTAAGTTACTTATTAAAATTGTGTAGGTGATCTTATCTGGACAAAGAATTTATTCGATACTTTTTAATCAGGCGATGTTAACAATACAAATTCATATTGATAAATATTGTATCACCAAGTCCTACCATAATATGGGTAAGTTGTGAAAAGTCAATGTAAATGTTTCTTCATATTTTAGGTGTGTTCTATACTGTGGTCTCAAGAACACAGAGAACTTATTTCAGGTCATGGATATCAGTTGAATCAACTAATAGTATGGAAATACCCAGCAATGGCTAAAGTAGCCGAGTTGAAAGGTAATAGTAAATTACGCTATAAGGGATAGATTCCAAAAAGAAAAAGCAGAAAGCAATAACCACTCAAAGAAGACTTTTTGATGGACTCACCAACACCACTAGTAGTACAGCGATTCATTTGATGTATACTGAACTTGGTGTAAAAAATAATAAAACTTGACATCAAATACCATCCTTTAATACCCAACGTTTAGTAAAAAATTTTTTGACTTCATCAGGGGAAGAAACAAACTACAAATGGTAGAAGGCAATTAAGATTAAAATTACATTACAATATTGTAATATTGGTGTCACCCATGTTCGTCTGTCCACAAATTGCTTGTAAACACTCTAGAAGGAACAATTCCTGACCGATTTTTTACAAAACTAGGCATGAGTGTTTATCACCCAAGTATAAACCCTATTGAAAATCAGAAAATTCGAAATATGTTAAGTATGAGTTATTGCCCTTGTTCTTGAAATGCTTGTAAATACTCTAGAAGGCGAATTTCTTGACGGATTTTGACAAAACTAGAAACAGCGAAAAATAATTAGTATGAGTTATTGCCCTTGTTCTTGAAAATGCGTTCAATTTGAGCTTGTAAAATTGTAAAAACTTTAGAAGGTTTACTGATTGGCAGATTTTGAACTTGCTGTGAGTGTTCATACAAGGATGAACCTGATTGAAAATCAGAAAAATAGAAAAGTATTTAGTTGGAGATATTGGCCTTGTTCTTGAAAATGTCTTTAATTTTTAACTCGTAAACACTCTAGAAGGCACAATTCTTGATGTGAGAGTTTATCACCCACGGATAAAGCCTATTGAAAATCAGAAAAATCGAAATATATTTAGTATGAGTTATTGCCCTTGATCTTGAAAACTCGTTCAGATTTAGGCGCGTAAACACTCTAGAATATGCAATTGACAAAACTTGTTGTGATTGTCTCTTTTCAGAAAAATCGAAAAATAATTAGTATGAGTTATTGCCCTTTTTCTTGAAAACACGTTCAATTTTAGCTTGTAGAAGGCACAGTTCTTGATGGATTTTGACAAAACTTGGCATGAGGGTTGGTTATCACCCATGGATAAACCCTATTGAAACTCTAGAAGGCATGATTCTTGCCGGATTTTGACAAAACTTGGTTTTATTATTCAGTACCGCTAAAGATTGAATATTTTCAAGAACAAGGGCAATAACTCATACTCAATATTATTCAGCATCGCCCTAAAGAGTTCAAAAGAAGTGTATGAGTGAAGGTTGAATATTTCATACTGGTGATTGTTACTGTACTGCCAAATATTCTTATTCAAAATCAAAGCTGTAGTTGGCATAATTATATTAACTTGCCTGGCAAGTTATCCTTTATTTTATCAGGGACGCTGATAGAATCAATTAGCACTATTCCAATTTTCAATCAGTTGATGTGGTTCTTACAACACACTAAAACTAAATATTTTATGACATCACAATTACAATTGGCCTTATATGATTTTGGCAGATTTTGATGTCATAAAACTCTTGGTTTAGGTGTAATTTCATACGTATAATAATTTGATATGTATATCAGTTTAGAACTACAATAATAAAATATTTTCACTGTTGAAATAGTGCTCATTACATCAATTGTTGAGCAATGGAAAAATATTAAAACAGAACTTTAATTCACACTATGAGATTCTCAGACAACTGACGTATTTTAAATTTAATCAGTTCAGAACTATGTTGATTTAATCTTAATGTATTATTTATTATTGTTAGGTCATACAGCCAGGATATTGCACATGTCTCTCTCTCCTGATGGTACAACTGTAGCCTCGGCTGGTGCTGATGAAACCATTAGATTCTGGAGATGTTTTGATGTCATCAAACAGCAACGTAAACAATCCACCAAGTCAACTAGTGATAGTATTATAATGAAACAAATACGATAAAACTCTCTGAAATTATTTTGAAAATTGGAAGTGCTCAATCTGGTTGTCATCCCTCCACCATAGCAGAATTCTAAATACTGGTATTTACTTTCCCTGCTGATATCACTTTTCAGAAGGGAGATATGATGTCTGGTTCATCTGCAATTATAATCTCAAATAGTGAAGGTTACTAACTCTTTTATTAGTTTATGGTCATTTTCCACGGAATGCTTTGAACTCCAAGTAATATAAGTATAAGCGTATGACGTTAACGTTGTGTGATGTCACTTAGTTTGATGTGAATAATTTCATTTGAACGGGAATGGAGTAGAAAGCTTGTTCGATAGCAATGGAGAGGTAAAAAACCTGAACAAAAATTTGTTTAGTCACTGTGAACTGTAGTCAATTTAATCTAATAACACTGTGAACTGGCATCAATCTAGTCTAGTCACCGTGAACTGGAGTCAATCTATTCTAGTCACTGTAAACTGGAGTCAATCTAGTCTAGTCACTACTGACTGGAGTCAATCTAGTCTATTCACTACTAACTGGAGTCAATCTAGTCTAATAACACTGTGAACTGAAGTCAATCTAGTCTAGTCACTACTGACTGGAGTCAATCTATTCTAGTCACTACTGACTGGAGTCAATCTAGTCTAGTCACCGTGAACTGGAGTCAATCTATTCTAGTCACCGTGAACTGGAGTCAATCATGAAAATTTTAATGTGGAACGTATATTGCTGTCACCCATTTCCGTCCACAATTGCTCATAAACACTCCACAAGTCACAATTCTTTACGGATTTTGACGAAACCTGCTGAAATTGTTTATTATTACCCGAGGATGAACGCTATCGAAAATCAATAAAATCGAAAAATATTTAATAAGTTATTGCCCTTGTTCTTCAAAACGCGTTTTATTTTAGCTCGTAAACTGAGATTAAGCACATTGTGTTAATCTGTATATATAAAGATATTGTTTGTTTGATAGATCATGTTTCAACCACTATGAGATGTCTCGAAGTAACAGACTTTGAAGTACAAATTCCATGTGCTTGGTGCTATTGGCTAAAAGTGGAAATAATATAGCCATAATCCATTTAAGGAAAAATAAAATGTGTCTAGGGACACAAGAAAAAAATACCAAGTATTCTTTTTGTGATATTTTTTGTGATATATTGTATTTGTGTATATGTCTTTCATTAATAAATTCATTTTTTTAGAATTTGTTCAGAATTTTTGAAGAATGATAGTCTTTATTTGATAAATTGTGTTCCATCATTTAAATAATTAAATATTGGCCTCAGGACGCTTCCGTACATCTGAAAAACACCCACAGAACTACACAGTCTGGTTTAATTTTGTGATGAAAAGTAAGTTGTAACTTTAGAAGTCAGGCTTGTCGGGGAAGGAAATGCCCCGAAAAAATTCTGACAACCGACCAATTCCATTACTTCAACTATACACCGTACATTATTATTGCATAGGACAATAGACGAGAAATTTCAATACATCTTTTATAAACGTTTAATTTCATTCTATTAGAATAGAAAATCAATAAAACTTTGTATGGATAAGATGTCGACCATAAACCATTAGTTATTGAGACAGCTCAGAGATATCGGAATCACTTGATTATAAGGTATGTCTACTAAAATATCATGGGGTCTTACATGAATTAATGATGTTGTATTTAGGGTTATATTTTACGTTAATCGGGGCCACCGATGACATCTATGTGTATCGTTTTAATTTTCAATCAGTCGTTTGTGGGTCTAATATACTTAATATTGTATGTATTCACTATCGCATAAGCTACTTCGGTAAAGCATGGGCATGGCTATATTACAGGAACCACAAATATCTGACAAAAAAATACGCTGCCTGGTTAATAGTTACTGCCTTATGCCATAACTCATGCTATTCTTACGTAAAATAACCACCTACAGGCCTATTGAGCTTGACCTTTCTAAACTACGGTACGTTACCTCTTGGATATACATGTACAGTGATGATTGAATTCAAATGTACATATTATGTATATATACTGAGAGACAAAAGAAACGTTTTATTGGATCTATCTTACAGGATATTCAAATGTATTTATATATGTCAGTGTTAAAAAAGGAAGTAAGCTTAATGACCATTAACATTAGCTTATGTTACAAGGATAGGTTACTATCTCGTAGAATGGACATAAAATTTAAAATCTCTACTTGGTCAATAAAGAATAAAATCTCTACATACGACGATATATCCTTTAACCTAAAAAAAAGTTTTGAAAGACGCTTCTAAGCATGTTTCAAAATTACTTAGTTGTTAAATGAATTATTACTTTATACTGTTATTGGATTATAGCGGGAGTCTGTTACATAGTTATGACACCAGTAAAGTCAACTTTCGGACAAAGACTCATTTTGGCCAAATTTAAAAATTTCAATTGGTCATTCTAAGAGGTAGTACACCTTTAACTTTTATCATTGTTCTCGTGCTTTTCAATGCTATAAATCTTACCTGTGTATTCAACATTTTTGGATCAATTAGAACGCAAAATGGCTTCGTATTATTTACCGATTTTACACAGATGTTCAACTTGGAAAGAAGAGATCTGTTGTAGGTTTATAATTATATAATGTGGTCGTATATTGTTGTCGCCCCTGTCCGTCCGTCGGTATATATCAATGAGATCTTGGACAAGTTCGAATTTGACGATCATTCGATGAACGTTTTTTGAGTTATCGCCTTTGACGTATGAAAAACGCGTCAAAATTTGTTTGTGAACACAATAGAGACTACAGTTTTCATTCGATTTTAATGAAATAATTTTAATGTGATAATTTATAGGGATGAGGTCTTAAACAAGTTCGAATTTGACTATCTTTCGATGAACGTTTTTTATACGCCCACATCTCTGTATGTGGACGTATATTGTCGGCACCCCTGTCCTTCCGTCCGTCGGTCCGTCCGTCCGTCCGTCAACATTTGCTTATAAACGCTCTAAAAACTAGATATTTTGAAGGAATCAAATGAAATTAGGTATATGTATACATATTCATAAAATGAAGATTAAGTTCGAATTTGAGCTATTTTCGACCGTTAGAAGCCCTTGCCCCAAAATCTTGAATATGCTATTACTCTCTTAGTTTTCAACCGATTTTGATCAAACTTAAAATGGATGTTATTGGACCTAAATCGAAAGGTTTGAGAAAGTTTAGTTTACTTCTGATTAAATTTAAGGCTTTTTCAAGATCATTTATAATGATGAGATCTTAGTCAAGATTGAATTTGACGATTTTTCGAGTTATTGCCCTTGACTTAGTAAAACGCATCAAAATCTGTTGGCTTGTTAACGCGATAGAGGTGATAGTTTAAGTCTGAATTTTATTATTAAATTCTGTGTGTTTGATTAAATCAACAACATCTTGCACAAATGAGATTTTTGGTATGATTTGACACAGACGGCCCTGGATATACTAAAAATGTATCAGGAAAGTGGGCGTATCTTGCTTGGCGACCACTTGTTTAATCTATGATCTTATTTCTCTGCTCGAATAGAACAAGAACGCCATTGAAAATAAATGTGTTAGATTTTTTGGTAAGACACAATTGATCTGAATATATGTCATGATGTTGACCTATATAATAGTAGCGGGTGTCGCGCACGAAATTTTTATTGACACGGATCTTTATTATTTTCAACTGGTACTATAGAGTGAAAGATATTTCTAAAGGCCTTATTTTTTTCGAACAACGGACCACTACAGACGGACACATTTACAACAATACCTCAAAACACAATATTTGACATTATACATAAAATCTTTGAAGTTATAGATTAATATTATTATCAGTTTTTCATGTAAAATTTCGATTGTGTATTACAGATTGTATTCAAATTAAACTTTGCCATAAGCGAAAAAACAAAATTGTGGAATTTTCAGAATTTTAAAAGAACGCCGACCAAAAAATAACCAATACACGTAAGTAAATTTTTCTCTGGAAGGTGTGTGGTGAAACCCCATGTTATAAAATCTGCTTTTTGATTTGTTCTTGCTAAAGGAACTCTGCCATATATAGAAAAGACATAATATACCGGGTGCCCCAAAATCAGCGGTAACACTTTTCCAGGATTATTCATGAAGACCAAGAGTTATAACATTTTAGCCTTATACAATAAATTATTTTGACTGTTAAAATAGTGCCCCATACATCAACTGTAGAGCGATATAGAAATATGAAAACAGAGGTTAGGTTTTAGTATTTATTGCCTTATAATTATAGATATATTAGACATCTTTTCACACAAAAAGGTTATATACGTCCACTGGCAGCTTTGATTTTGAATAAAAATATTTAGCAGTACAGTAACAATCACCAGTATGAAATATTGATTTCGGGGAAGGGAGGGTTTGATTCTCCCAAATGTACAGGCCTAGGGTGGAGCAGACACTTTATTTAGAAATTAGGATTAAGGGTCTTGATATTGGGTTTTCTTCTGTTCTTATTCTGATCTGAAATTAGAAAAAATAACTCGCCCGATGGGCGAGAAGTATAGTATCTGTTATGTACTGATTGTTTTTAGTTTACTATGAACAATATTATCATTTAAGTTCTTATTTTTTGAATATGCAACTATCATTTTTTGCTTATAGACATGGGGGAATTTCTCTTGAAGGCTCTTATAGTGGGCATGAACTATCTTGCTTGCTCGATTGCTGGTTGTATTAAACGGGACAACAAAGGGTGCTATGCCTACATTATGATGAATATTTAGTCCTATAGGTCTTGCTGTATTCAATGTCTCAATCCAATGGGCCTCCCTAGATTGACGGAATTTGGTAGTTTCATCTTCGGGCAAGTCAATTTCTATACGCTCAATTGGGATTAGGGTGAGATCGTCTATTGAATGGTCGTCGAGGTTGAAATGATTAGAAACAGGCTTGTCTTTCTTTAATTTGATGTCTGACCTATGAGCATTAAAGCGAGTTCGTAAATTATTCTTAGTTTCTCCTACATATTGT